CGGTTTGCGCAACGTAGGAGAACCCCTGCACTAGATCTACTTAGTTACATTTCCTGCATTCAAACAGTCAAATGTCGTGCAGCCAGCGTGGCACTGATCAAACAACGGTTGCGCGTCCATAAAACTTTTCGATAACTTATCACCAGTTAAAGGAGTTTCCCTTCTATAGCATGAGCTATATATAGGTCATTCGAATCCATCTACAATTCTGTACATTCTGTGTTTTCCTGCACAAAATATTGGCACCTTATTTAACAAGCAAGTGAATTGCAACACATCGCGCAATACTAGCGAATTCTATGCAAAATTTGACAAGATTACCCCTTCTTCATTACCATTAAAATAGATCATCACAAAATCATGTAAGTAATAAATATGAAACTACTAAACTCGTCAATCTAAGATGAGATGAGTCACTACTATTTATACACCTAGCAATTCAACAACTAAATTGCTTCCTTATACACTTGTGACCGATGAATATGTGCTTACTTCTCAATTTTTGAATATTTAGTCATTTTTTAGGAGTAAAGGGGATCTTTTTCTTCACCAGGACACTACTTCTCTGACCTCATTTGCCGATTAATGCGAAGATTTGCTTGCCAGTAGAGGAATTGCTTTTTAGAGTTCAAGAACAATTTGCGGGCATTTCAGATAAGACAAACAGGCTAATTTCAATTGCAGCAATACTTTATTTTCTTTTTTAGCTCATTCGAACTATTTAGTCAGATGCAGCTTGTTCTGATCGCCTATGAGCGTGCGTCCGTCGTCCTCCACCTCCCGTCGCTCCGTGCGTAACATGTTGGCACAAATCTTAACGCTTTGACGTACGGTCACGATAATTCGCAGTGGTTCCCCAGCGATGAAATTCAAAACAGGAGGGAGGGAGGGAAGGCGGGGAGGGGGAAACTAGCGGGAGTCGGGGGCTCGTTTTTTTGTACCACTAACTTAATGCGTAAAACCATCTCACCACACCATAACCCGGTATCTTTGGGCGTTCTTGTTATATATAAGATAGCGAATCCAGTGACCATTCATGTGGGGACAGGTACGTTTCTTACTTGTATATTGTTCTGCAGTGCATGCGTGGCACAGGTAAAATATACACGCCGCCGGTGTCCTAGTCATATGGAATTCTTACGATGTCGGATTCCCCCGCTGGCAAACTTTCTATTCTTGTATTTAATCGGGCTAGACGGTAATTTAAAGGGGCGCAACGGATCTTGAAACGGGGGGAGTTTTCCCAAACGGGCCGCGCATCGCCCCCGTTTTGCGCAACCGTCAGGGAGAACCCTGATTTCGTGACGTTGGCGGGGGGCATCGTGCAAAAACGAGTTGGGATGCGGCGAAGCTGGGTCAACAGTGTCAAGATAGGGGGAACATTCCCTCCTTACTTAATGCGATAGGGAGAAAATGCGAATTGCGCATCAAATCTAACACGGCTCGCTTAACGCTCTGTATAGTCGGTGTATAGCTCATTGTAGGAAAAGCCAATCACTAGTGCTCACAATTGCGACGGTCCACAGTGTTCAAAGTTCAATGGGGCACAGGACAGTATTTTGAATATTTTCTGCAGACATGGTCTGATCGGAGACATTGTGAAAAAACTTTTTGCTTTCAGCGGTGACCTAGCATCTGATGGCTTTATTGAGAGGACCAATAGCAATGTACTATTCTGCCTAAATGCGAAGGAGTAAGTTGTCCCACATAACTTTTATGAAAACTTCAAAGGAGGCTAAACATGGATTTGTTTACTGTTAGAAAGAATTTAGACTGCCACGTTTGCTAGTCATAATCTATACATGCCTGCGTTGTATAGCCGCGTACTAATGTCACAGTGAAATTTCAAAAGTAAATTGGTTGAAGTAAGGTTTTATGCTCCTTTAAATGTATTAATTTCTTGATTTTTGTACTGTCAGTGTTTTACATAGTAACTCTATGTCCACTGCCATGTGGCCACTGCCAGTGCATGTGAGTGCGAGAATAGTAATGTGCTATTTTTTCGCATGCATTAATTAGTTAACGTGGTTAGCCTCATCTATTTCAGCTGTAGCTTCGTAGGTAAATTGTGAAGGTACCTATATTCTGTCTGATAAATACGTGTTGCTTCTATCCTTCTTGTACGTATGGGATGCTCTGCCATCTTTAATCTCTAAGACATCTCAACGTAACGCGCCATCTCGTGCAACTTCATAACGATCATGTACGAACATTTTCTTGTATGACAAGTATCCTTGATTCGCATTCCAGTGTTCGAAATATAACGCTATCCGAACCGTTTCCGTACTTGTCCATTTCCACGGAGCGAGAAGTAGATCTGTCCGGTATATGCTTGTCCGGCGGAACACGCGCTTTTAGAGCATTTTTTTCAGAATTTTCTACCATCGCCTAGCCCGCTGCTGGGAAAACCCTAGTTAACATAGTATTATAACACTGGTGCGGGAGTGCCAGCCTTGATTTTCAACATATATATAACATTTATGTGAAGTTATAATAACGTCTTTACCGGCCTTGCTAGCTTCCAACCGAACATCGGTCTTCGCCTAGGGTTAAGATAGTACCGTCAGATCAATCAGTCCTGATAACGACAATCAGACATCTGTAACTAGACAATCAGTCGCACAAGCCCCGTCCGCATGTGCTACACGCCTCAGAAAGAGAGAAATGAAGAGAGAGGGAGATGAGAGAGCGAGGGAAGAGAAGTTGAGAGAGACCCCCGCATAGAGAGAGAGGAAGAGACGAAGCAGAGAGAAGGAGAGAGAGATTCAGAAAACGGAAGATGAGAGAGAGAGAGAGGAGGAAAGAGAGAGGAGAGAGACTTGAGAGATGAGAGCAGAGAGAGCATAAAATAGAGAGAAGAGAGATCGATGAGAGATCCTACTAACAGGTCCCCGCGTTCCTTTGTCATCGATGAGAGAGCAAGGAAGAGAGAAAGAGGAGAAGAGCAGTGTGTGATCGAGCGAGAGAGAGCGGGAGAGAGAGAGCGCGAAGGGAAGAGAGAGCAAGAGCGAGAGAGCGAAAGAGAAAGAATGAGAGAGACAACGAGGGAGAGCGAACGCGGCGATGGGAGGGTGCCCTTGATTCGTTTGCCAGTGATACTCATTGCTATGAGTTTAGCATCAGAACACCTGCCGTCAGGTGAGCGCTGTCGCTCTGCAGCACTTGTCTCTTTTGCTTTTCTTACCCTACTTAACTCGCCTGATTTCTTACCCATCTAATACTAAGTTACACCAAGATTTAGTGACATCTTGTTTTAGGTTTATCTTTGACAAGCTCACCATCTGGCTACTCTTGATTTGAGATACAAGATATAAGAGGAAAAGTTCATAGATATAGTTCAAAGATCTAGTGCAATGAAATGTAATCATAGGAAAGCTGGTGCATACTATCATTTTTGCAAAACTGTAAGTTTTGGAATGTATGAGCGCATCCTATCGAGCTATGTGTTATACTTTTCCTAACTCAACATAATTTTTATAAATTACTGAAAATAAACCAATCTTTTTCCTGCATGCGTGCGTGCGTGCGTTGTATGCGTGTGTATCTTTGTGTATGCTTGCGTGTGTGGTGTGTGTGTGTGCATGCGTGCACGTGTGTGTGTGTATGTGTATGTGTATGTGTCTTGATAAGTAAGAAAGCAAATAATTATAATATGCATATTTGTTGCCGCAGGAAAAGAGGTAGGGGATATAGCAGTGGTAAAGGATGGCAACCGCTACCTATACAACATGGTTACCAAAAAGAAATTCTGTGACAAACCAACAATTGAGGATCTAGAGAAATGTCTTGTGCAACTCAGGAATTGCTGTAGGCAGGATGGTGTTACCAATCTTGCCATGCCAAAGATCGGTTGTGGTCTGGATGAACTTAAATGGTTCAATGTTCGCCTTATGATACAAAATGTGTTTGAACAAGAAAGTATAAAAATAACAATTTGTAGTCACTGATGCCTGGTGACAAACCAGTTCGTTAGCTGATTTCGTGATTGAAGTTGCTGGTAATATGTCACCTAAGCTTCATATTAGTAATTGTGTATATATGTGATTAAAGCTGATTCCTTATTAATTAATATGTATTATGCTGTCCAGCCTAGTTCAATTAGTTTCATTCAAGTTTGGTAGCACCCCTTGGAGCTGTTCCATTTAAACATTTAGTGATTCCTTTAAGAACCGACCGTCTTTTGCAGCGATCTTTTCTAATATACTGCTCTGCCCCTGTATAATAACTTGGTTTGTTAAGTGCGTTTTTAATAATGTATTAGGTGCTATACAGGCGGTAGTTACCTGTGCTTTTTGTTTTTGGATTTTTACGTGTGTGTATTGTAGCGACGTCGTTGTGAGGCGAGGAAGGGAATAAACACTGTCATTGATAGACGATGCACAGAGTTGTGTGTTCCTGAGAGTCATCTTTATTCGCCCCCTTCGCGCCCAATTCCCCACCTGTAATGCTCTCCCGGATAACATAACATATGAACGTCTGAGTAGACGTTGGTGATACCACATTTCCCTTTTTCCTTTACTTTTGATTACAATGAGAAATAAGTACACTCATGCAGTATCCTGGTTAAGCGAACACAATACTAAGAATACTGATTACTTGTATACAATACTAAGCACTTGTGCGCATTACGTTGTTCATACTAGATTAATTCAGAAATAAAGTATCATTCAAAGGACACTCAAAGAACCCGAAAAAACTAAATGGAGGTAGACTGCTCCAAGTAGTCTGCAAGAGCTGAGGATTATTCTGCCTCATTATCGCACCTGCTATTCCCTATCTATACACAATACAGCTCCGAGTAGCTGTTATCTAGTACTCCTCGACATATCTGCGTGGTGGCCTGCGCGTTCTCTCAGACCGCCGTGGCTCCGATCGTGTCTCTGGCTGTTCGTTGAGAACGGTTGGCACGTGTTCACCCAATGACGACTCCACCGGTTCCGGACCCTCGGATAGTGTGGTCAGCTCCGTTGGGATAGCAATGCATTTTGACTGAGGCTGCATGTTTTGACTGGATGTGGGGCATGTTTTGACTGCCATGCGACGGTTACGCCTGACAGTGCTCTTGGGTGTCTGTATCAGTACCGACCTAGGAGCACTGTGCATTCTTACCACCATGCCTTCGGTTTGCTGATCTGGGATCCACACCTTATCTCCAGGTGACAGTTGCTCACCTTCCACAACTCTATGTCTGCGATCATAGTTGTAGGACATTCTCTCTCGGTATATTCTTTTCCTTTTCTGCAACCTAATGTAGTCTGGCAGTTTGGGCAACAGCTCATCTGGGTGACACGGAATTCGTGTTCTAAGCTTTCGATCCATGCTCAGCTGTGCAGGAGAATAACCATTGTGGAGAGGTGTGTTCCTGTAGTTGAGAAGAGCGAGGTATTCGTCATCACACTTGTTCAAAATGGACTTCACCGTCTGAACAGCTCTCTCAGCCTCGCCGTTTGATTGCGCGTAGCCTGGAGACGACGTGATGTGCTCGAATCCCCACTGTGTCACAAACTGCTTGAACTCGTCTGAGTGAAATTGTGGTCCATTGTCAGAAAACAATGTATCACATATGCCATGTCTACTGAACACCTTTTTCATCATGAAGTACTCGCTTTTTTCACGTGAGAAGTAATCGACGACCAGCAGATACATGTGGCCCTTGTGGTTGAAGAAATCTGCACCAACCCTGGACCAGGGGACTTTTTGGAAATGCAGTGCCCCTCATCAGCTCGATTTTCTCTCCTGTATTTACTGCACAGGTTGCAGTTCCTAACCATTTCTTCGATGTCGTGTGATAGTCCTGGCCACCATACTGATGACGCAGCATTCTCACGTGTTTTTGTAACTCCTTGATGTGCATCGTGAAGATACCTCATGATGTCGTTCCTCAGGATGCCGGGAATTACGAGTCTGCTCCCTCTCAAAAGCAGACCTTCATGTAGGCTCAAGTTACCTTTCTTGGACCAGTATTTATTTAACTCTAACCCAAACAGCTTGTATTTGGACTCGGGCCAGCCATGCTCCACATAATACATCACAACCTTGAGTATGTCATCCCTCTTAAGCTCACGCCTGATTTCTTCAAGCCGTGAGTGTGATGCTGGTAGGTTGACCATTACGGTATCGACGTAACACTGTGCCTCTACCTGTAGGTCACTCAGATCACCCACGCATTTGAGTGGACTGCGAGATAACGCATCTGCTGCGTACAGCAGCTTGCCTGGTACATGCGTGATTTTGAAATCGAACCGCATTAGGCGCATACGGAATCTCTGGATTCGCACTGGTAGTTCATCAATCAGCTTTGTAGAGAACAATGGTACCAGTGGCTTATGATCAGTTTCGACCTTGATGGAGGACATGCCCATCAAAGGGTCTTGCCAATGTTCGAAAGCCCATGTAGTTGCTAAGGCTTCCTTTTCGATCTGAGCGTACCTACGCTCAGTGTCTGTCATTGACCTGCTGGCGTATGCTACTGGTCGCAGTTCACTAGATGCTTGTCTCTGAAGAAGCACAGCTCCCAACCCAAAACTGCTCGCATCAGCTGATACGACTGTCTCTCGCTCTGGATTGTACATGGCCAATATTCGCTCAGAAACCAGTTCCTCCTTGACATCCTTGAACGCAGCTGCTTGTGCTGGGCCCCATAACCATGCAGCACTCTTCTTGAGAAGATCTCGTGGCGGTTTAGTATGTTCAGCCATGTGCAGGCAAAACTTCGTCAGCTGGTTAGCCATGCCAAGGAATCTTCTGAGTTCATTGACATCCTGTGGCTCACGGAAGTCAACAATAGCCTTGGTCTTTGCCGGATCTTTCCGGATTCCTTGACCGTCGACTATTTGACCCAGATAGTCCGGGCTAGCCAATGAGAACACACACTTGTCGGGATTGAGGGTTAGGGTTCGGATCCCACTTCTGACACCATGTAGCGACTTCGTTGTGAGGCGAGGAATGGAATAAACACTGTCATTGATAGACGATACACAGAGCAGTCATCTTTATTCGCCCCCTTCGCGCCCAATTCCCCACAATGCTCTCCCGGATAACATAACATATGAACGTCTGAGTAGACGTTGGTGATACCACATGTATGATATTCATTGTGGGGTATTTTAGGTAGATATGCAGTGTCGGTTCTTCTCGGTCAGTCGGTTAACTGCAGCTAGTCAGTTCAGTCAGTCGCGGCCATATCATTTATTTATGGATGTCTTTTTGCTCCCTGGAGTTCTTAATTCTAATACAACAGAAATGCACACTCAGACATACATGTATAATTAACTTGCAAAGCATATAATAATATTGATTCATGTTTAATGCACATCTAACTACATATGTATATGAACAAGGAGGAATGTTAACCTCTAAATACAAGCAATTCAAGCAATGAAAATTGGGAAATTGTGTACGTGTATACTTGTATGAAACCTGCAAATGTGATAATTGTATCCCCCGCGAGGAAGTCGGCGGGGATACTAGGGTTTCATGTCTCCCCAGCCGCCGCCGCAGAGAATTTCCCTTCCGCTCTATAACTCGACCCCTAATTGACCTAGCGTGACCAAACTTGGTATACTTACACATCTTGGGGAGAAGGTGTGCACGCGTACCAAAACCACGTCACTACGACCTTTATTTGACATTGACCTTCACCTTGACCTTCCTCATATTTCCCTTCCGCTCTATAACTCGACCCTTAATTGACCTAGCACGATCAAACTTCGTATACTTACACATCTTGGGGAGAACACGGGGGATACATGCAGTTGGC